GCGTCCGTCCCTCGTAGCCTGGTCTGTGGCCGCGAGCCGAGGGGTTGGAAATTAAAAGAGGGAAAGGGATGGTTTTCACGTCGAGGTACGCAGAATATTCACGGCGGGCCAGCTCGTCATCGCCGAGCGTGTTCGAGAGATCACTCGTCAGACGCTCGACCTTTCGAGGGTGGAAAAACCGGAGTTTGCGTCTACCTCGTTTCTCGATATTCGCGAAAATTATTTCCCAATTCTTTCGCCTATTTAATCGTCTTCTTTCTCTCGCTTCTCCGTTTAAAAGTCGAGTACCGCGATCGTTATTTCCGCCATCACTAATCGCGCGATTAGCCCATTTCGCGCTGCAAAACGAACGCTAAACAGAGATAGCCGCGTTCGCGCGGAAATTCCTGGATCGCGGAAAATGCGGATATTCTATTCGACGAAACAAAAATCCACCGGTATACCGTTTAGAAATATGTATCCGTGATATAACAACCGTTTTTCAAACGCTACGCCGGTAATGACGGTATGTATACACGTTACATCGTACGTTTATACATGCGAACTCGTGGAAAATTCCTTCCCCATTGAAACGAGAATATTCCCGTTACGTTCTCGTGAAATTTCGGTAACGAGAGAAACGTTAACTGGATTATCCCGTACACGTGGAAACATTCCCAATTATACGGGAACGAAAGTCGCGGCGCTTTCGAAGCCTTTAGCGAACACGCGCTAAACGACGATGATTGGCTGAGACCGCGTTGAAGGTATCAAACGATCGCGTCGCCAGGCCCCCTGGTCGTTTGCGACTTTCATTAGTAAAACGGCGAATTCCTGTCCCACGTTCAGCCTTGGTCATGGAGGAAAGAACTGGACCCCGGTTGCAGCGAGAGCCGCCGAATTGTCAGGCCGGTAGCCTCTGATATTAGACGCCCTTTAATTAGCCAACCAACGCGCATACGCGATGTCACGTCGGAATAGAATTTCTCGGATCACGTACGTTCAAAGGGGGTCCGAATTCCTCTGAAACGTAATCGATGATGCGTTTGCTGGTATTACCAATCGAGTGATTCACTGCACGAAAGCTGTTTCAACGCTAAACCTACTACGAGACTCGAGTGATATCGAAGAGATAAGTTTAGTTATATATAGAAAATCAACATCCGAAAATTTAGGCCATTATTCCACAATGGCAATGATAAATATTCGAAATCAATCTGCAATTAAGGCAATAATAAAACTCCAATCACAAATATCTCAAAAACTATAGACTAGTTACCTTTATAATGATATATTTTCTTCAACTGGGTGACTAAATCTACAAAGCTGCAAAATTTTAACTAAATCCATGATCCTAAGGACTCGCACTCTCCTTGTAAGATTCCCCTTCTTCCTCATCCATTAGATAATTTCTCAGTCACGATTTTTCGGCACAGTTCCGGAGAACGAAGATTCCACTAGCTTCCAAAATGTCCGCCTTTCGTTGATTTTATTGCGATTAATTCGGAGTATTCAACAGCTGCGTGTCATTTAACTCGCCTGTAAAGTCTCTGTGTACCTGAGACAAGCATCAGGCTGATGGCGCTTTCGCTATGCGAGGGTTCTGTCGGCCCTAGTCATCCCGGGTACCTGTGCATACAGACCGGGGTTTGGGCCTTGTACTACGGAGACGCATGACGTGACTGCTGTCGGGCCTCGTGAGATGGTTCCCTAATTGGTTGTTACCCCGCGAGGCAGGGGCACGATCTAACCGACTACCAGGCTCTGCTGGGGTTCTTCGAGCAGGACCTTCCTTCCCTGGGAATATTACCGGGTCGGCGACTCTGCTTCTGTTCTCGTTCGAGATGCAGAGCACCAGAGATTCGAATTAAACGGGGACCGATTGCGCGAAGCTGCTCAAACCCAAAGTTATCTCGGTTTTCTCGCGTTTTCGCATTTTCCGAGAACACCAGTCTTCCCGGGACGTTGGAGGGGGACGTCGCATCGCGAAAGGAGCTACTTGAAGCAAAGTGTCAGTAGCTTCGCTTGTTTATACTTCGAGTCAGATAAGCGTATCTTTGATACGGAACACGCCAGTTGGATGATCGCTATAAGAGCTTAAAGACCGGGCTTTCGACACCACAGCATGAGACCTGCTAATTGGCAAGGTTTCTCAAAGAAAAATCATTAAAACGCAATTAAAAGCTACGTGTATATTGTCACGAGTTTCTCATAGCCGCCCTATACTCGGCTTAGTAACAACGGCGAATCCTAATTTCCGGAAAAGAGTAATCCAGCACCTTCCAGAATATTCGGGCAAAGAACAATGGCGGCTGTTCGCTATAAAAAGGGGTGTCCTCTACCGAAGTTCAGCTGATTGAATTGTCAGCGTTCAATAGGATTAACCTAATTCTACGTCGTGGACATTTGGAAACTTACAGCCATTCAGAAATCGAACTCATGGAAGAAGAGTTCTAAGTGCGATCTGCAACGATATTAACCCTTTGCATTTGAGAAGCAACCCTCAGTCGCCATTTAATCAGATTTTAAAGATCGATGTTAATTAATACATCAAATTTAAAATTACCCAACGATGCGTGGAATGTCGAAGTAAAATAATTCTACGTCTTAATTTGTATACGATTTCCTCGAATTACTATTTTTCTGCAACGAAAAAATCGCCGAGTGCAAAGGGTTCGAGATATTTGCGACGGATTCGAAATTTATCGGGATATAATTGATAAGATGGATATAGCAACCAGAAATGGAATAATTAATACATCTAGTCTCTGTCGAATAGAATTTCATAAAAATATCAGTAGCGCTATCGATCGCTCTATTGAAGATTTTATGGCGAAAAGCTGTAGCCATAAACGATAAGAGAAGCTTTGTACGAGGGTTATTAAATTATTTCTAAAACCCCTGGTGCGATCGGTGGTTCGCGTCAAAAGATCGACCCTTTGCGAAGGTAGCTTCGGCCGATTTTAATTAATCAAACGGGGATACAGGAATAAACGTTAGACGGCATCGACGATTTGGGTCCGTAAGCGTTTTATTCTTTGAAGAATCGCTTTCATCGGGACGACTCGAGCAAGTCCGTGGATGAAAGGGTTCGGGGGCGAAATTACGCGATGCCTAGACGAAATTCAATCGTGGACGGGGGAGGCGGCAGCGGAGGCGAGCCGAAGAAAATGTTCCATCGTCATTATCATTATTATATTTATCGCAATTATCAAAAGGAATCGAGCCAGGCGACGGGTATTAAGCACGCGCTAAATGTACTCGTGCTCGGTGCACTTCACCGGGTTGGCAGCAGCGTGTAATAATAATTACGAAACGATACATGATAACGAGGTGCCGGGCCGCTAACGACGCCCCGGCGTCGTTTCTCTCTTTCCTCGCTCCTCCCCTGCAGCCCCCGCGACCGTTTCACCACTATTTCTCTCTTCTTTTCCCGTCCTCGACGTTTCCCCGATTTAATAATATGTACTTTTTTTTTTTTTTTTGCAAATTTCTTCATTATTCATTCAATATCGCACCGCCACGGTTCCCGCCTCCTCGGTTACCGCGGGTATTTTTTTTTCGTCGCTTTAGCTCGTTCCCCCTCATCCTACGCGCGCAAAGCACCTATTTTCTGCGTTTTCAGATACAAATAAAAAAATGGTACCAACGCGCAGCTCGCTAGTAACATTATACGCGTTTTCCTCCTTCCCGTTCCGCGCCCCCTTCGACCCCCGGCACCACCCGGCGCCCCACGGTAGACTCGTCGCGCCCCGTCTCGACGCTAGGCATCGACGTCGTCGATATCGTCGTCGTCGTCGTCGTAGTCGTCGTCGTCGTCGGCTACCACGCGCGTTCGCGTCGTCGAATTTATTTTCCGCGCGCGGCTACGAGAGAGCGCGCGAACACTCGGAGCGTTTTCGAATCATTAAAACGCAAATACGGCTGCGCCCAGGGGCCGTGGAGGTTGGCGGACGCCATATCGGGCAGCTCGGTTCGAGAGCAAATTATCTTGCTTAATTAATGTCGCGCTGGCGAATAATTGGGCAAGGGAGGGGCCGCGGGGGCCGTCGAAAGAGCTCGCGCGGAGCCCGAGTTCGGCAGCCGAGGCTATCGCGAATCGATTCCTATCTCCGCGCTTCCCTTTCGTTTCGCTTCGACCCCTTCCTTCCACCCCGATCTTCCAACTTCTCTCCTCTTCCACCCCATCTCGCCCCCTTCGCCTGTCCACCACTCGTACACCCCTCTGCCTCGCGTGCATCGCTCCGTTCGTTTCGTTTCGTTTCGTTTGTCTCTCTTTGCCGAGGCTCGTGTAATTTCTACGCGGGAGGCGTTTGATCTGCGCTTTTGCGGAGAAAGGGCGATTAAAAAGTGCCGTGAGAATAACATAGACACGGTGAAATCAGTTGTAGCGTCGCTTTGAATCCCTCGGGCGCTGGTCTCGGGACTGTCCTTTCGCGCACAGCGCCTTCCGCCGTTTCATCCCCCGGCGCCGTCTCGCTCGCACTTTGTCGATTAAGCAACGCGACCGTGAACGCGGGATTATATCGGTTTGCCGGTTTCGGAGAGGCGCGACGACACGCGCGGGACGCGAGGTTCGCGCGACGCTCTCGAGACCTACGCGATTAATCTCTCGATGGTCTCGCCCACCATCACGAGCACGTTATTAATTAAATGCCGGCGTGCTAGCGCGCTCGTTAAAAAATTCCCGTGTTTGCGCGAAGAAACGCGTTCCATTATCACGCGCCGCGCCTCGCCTCGCCTCGCAGACCCGCGCCGCGCCGTTAAACGCGCCGCAGCGCCGCGATCTTGCCTTTCTTTCATCGATCACGATCTCACGGCCCCCATCGAATCAACTTTGCCGAATTTATCGAAACAACCCGCGTCGATATCCTACGATTCCATCCCTGGAATCGCGACGAGGGAAGAGAAGACGCGCATCAGTTCGCGAACGGATAAACCCGGAAGACGGAAAAGTTTAAGAGTAAGAGAGAAAGAGAGAGAGAGAGAGAGAGAGAGAGAGAGAGAGAAAGTGGACTCACATTGAATGTCGATCTTGACGGGCGAACTCTCGATGGAATATCCAGTTTCCTTGTGAGTGGCGATGCAGACGAAGTTTCCGCTGTCGAGGATTCGGTTGACCCTGGTGATAAGCAGGTCGCCGCCGTCCTGGTGTCTCCGAGGACTCGGTGCCAGCAACTGTCCGCCGATTTTCCACGAGTACTTGACCCGTGAACTCGGCTGAGCCTCGCATCTCAGGCGTACCGGAGATCCCTCGACGGCCGAGTGCTCGCCGGGGCTCACGGAGAAGTAAAGATCGCCCTCCTGGCCAAATACCGGTGCCACTGTGCAAACACACGTGATCAACTGTTACGCCGTTCCGTGGAAAATCGCGCGGGTTGGTAGAAGAAAATATTTACGAGCCGCGGCGAGCCAGAGGGTGCTGGCATTATCGCTTTAATCTCGAAATTTTCGCTTCGACACCCCGCTGCACGAGCTCGCGAAGGCATGCACAAGTTGGCACGGCTGTTAGTGTATCGTTATTAAAAAACCACTAATTATCAAGGTAGCGCGGCAACAATCGAACGATAAACAGCGACGGGGGAGCGCTCTAAAACGAGTCGTAACAAGAGCCAGGCTCTTTGAATGCGGAGGCCTCATTAAGCTGATTGATAATTAGCACGGGGCAACGGTATTGTATCGATGTTCTTTGATTTCCGCCAGCGGAAAGCTCTTCCTCCGGCACCACACCCCCCCGTCTCTGCGCCTCTACCTTCGCGTTGCACCGTTTAATGCGATTTTTTACCCCTTTCTCCTTTTCTTTTTTCCTTTTCTTCCTTATTCCTCGCGATTTTACCGCGCGCGATTCGCGATACGCTCCCTCCTGCCGCGACCATCCCTCCCCGCCCCCTGTTTCCAGGATACAGACATAGACGCGTGTCCCTAGAGTAATTCCGCACAATTTGCCGATTGCCGCGGGTATCTACTACGCCTCGACGACTCGTCGAGCAAGAAGGAGCAAAAAGGCAGATAATATCAGAACGATACCCGTGAAATACGCGACAGGTGTTCCTCGCGTTATTCGAGTACGAGCACACCGGGCGACCGCGGCCGAGACGAAGACGTCTACTCGTTAAACGAGCTTATTAGTTGCTCGTTAACGAGCTCCTCTACCGAGACGGCACGATTTAAGCTTCCCGGGGCTAATTAAGCAAAGCTGCCGGATCTTATTCCGGCACACAACGCGCAACCTGGACGCCCGTTTGACCGAGGCTCCGATTCGTTCCGGGGGTAGGTATCCGGTGAACAGAGGGAGAGGGTAGCGAAAAATAGAGCGAGACGGGGAATTTTTAATCGCCCTTGCGCGAATCGTACGCGGGAAACTCGCTCTCGAGCAACATCCGCGAACAAACGTTGGGAACGAGCTGCAAATAGTCGGCCGTGCAAATTAAACGATCCACATTGTACCGGGGAGGGTGGTGGTGGTGGCGCTGCGGCACGAGCGGCGCACGAGGCGGACAGGGACAGCCGGAGGGAGCACGGTCAGGGAAAAAGGTAGAAACGGATAAAGTCGTAACAGGAATCATGTGTTCGAGCATATTTTTTTCGGTTCGCGAACGCCGCTGCTTCCGTGGCGTAAAAAGGTCGGGGAAAAAAGGGGTGGGTGGGAAAAAGGGGAGAAAAAGGGAAAAAATGGCAAGTCGAGCGGAACGCGGCTCGCACTCGCGATTCCGGAGCGTACTACCCCGGAGTATCGACCGATCGCATCGGCGATTTCGCAAACATCCACCGCCACCCACGCGAGTACTCGCGCGCCTCTGTACGCGCGCGGATTACCTTCGCCCTGTGTCGGGGTGGAAATCGATTGTTGCGTTTCCACGGCTGGAATGCGAGCTGCACACGTGCACGGTCAACGCAGCCCCGTCCAACGCGTCCACGCATTCGCCCCGTTCACGCTTAACGGCTTTTCGAGAGCTGGCTAATTACCTCGACGGGGACAGTGATTACCGGTGAACTCGAAATAACACCGGGTCCCGAGTCAACGTCCAAGGCCTGCGCTCGACGACAAGCTTTGTTTCGAAATGCCTCCCAAGACCAGGGGTGTGCCTGTACCCGGAAACTCGAGTTGGCCTGGGTCAAGTCGGAATGCCAAAAATTCCTGTCACGCTCAAGGGATAATTGTCGAAGGACGACGTTAGACATTGTCACCTTTGTCTTAACCCTTTTGAATAAGCCGTACCTTGGGTCATTCAAAACTACCAGCGCTTATTTCTACTTAACGCGTTAACTGTCACGGTGGTCACCAGTGACCGGAGTTTGGCTCCTTGGTGGGACCATGATGGCCACCACTGTCCGGAGACACGCATTTTTTAAATTTATATTTGTTCTATTCTAACCATTTTTTGAAAATTTGAACAGCCTAGATAAATAAAGAACTCGGAATTGCGGGACCTCTATGGTCCCATTGAGGAGACAGCGCCGATCACTGATGACCATCATGGCAGTCAACGTGTTAACCCTTCGCACTCGAGAGACGCCCTTCAGTCACCGCTTGATAAAATTTTGAAGATCGATATTAATTAATACGTCAAATTTAAGATAATATAACGGTGTGCGAAATATCGAAATCAAATAATTCCATGTATTAATTATTATACGGTTTCTTATCGAATGCTCCAAAAAATATCGTCAGCTTTATAGCAGAAAATCTTTGAACTCCTACTCGTCTTTAACCAAAAATCGTCGAGTGCAAAGGGTTAAACGCGATTTTCATTCATAGCGACGCTGTCAATAAGGACGCAAAACAGTCCACCACTTTGGATATGCGGTCTTAGGGCCCCAAAAGCGGACGCATATATGTGCCTATAATTATGAATGTGGTCCAAGTCATCGACTTAAAAGGAACGATTTTATTATTTACTTCGTGCTGCATTCATTTTTATTCCGATAAAATACACTTATCTCCAAGAAAGCAGTGAAGAATTGAATCGTTAGATCGAGTTTGTAGCTTTATGATTTATGACGTATTTAAAGGCCGAAGCTTTTGATATTTCAGAAGCAAGTATAAGTGACTTAGACCAGTTTCGTAATCACAGGCACACGTGTGTTTCTGCTTGAGTATACGCGGGCTTCTATAATCGCGACGCATTAGCGAAACCTGGCGGTTATATGACGTAACAGCGGCAAACTATTGTACGTACGCGAATTTCCGACTTATAATTAGTTGGGAACGAGCTATGCCTAGAGAAGGACGTAAATAAAAGCATTCAATTATATACGAAAGGTGGATTTTATTAAAGCCAAGAAAGCCTTAATACAACAGTTTCTCGGCCATAGCAACCGCGTTTGCGTGGGACACATGAGTCCCTCGGCCCTGTCAGTTGTCGTGGAACGCATATATGAGTTCCTTGGCCAAATTGATGGCTAGAAGATAGATAGTTCATAGATGCCACTCGTAGCAACGATTCTCGATATAAGATTCGTGGAACACCGGAGCCAATGAAAGTCAGCGATACGAGTTTGCTAAAGTGTGTTTGCGCAAACTACGATGACACTCTCGTCTCTCTAGTCGTGTTTCAATGTTGGAAAAAAATGAAATCGAGCGTATCGCTTCTTAACCTCGTCCCCTGCCGATCCAGGCCGAAACGGTGGGCATCAACTCGCGGTAAACAGACCAGACTGACGCTCGAAAGCGGTCGAAATACGAGCCGAAATGTAAATACGCGTGATACAGTCTGTTTTCACGCGATACTACTATCGCCGAAGCGAACTCTAATCCTTTTTCCTTTTATAAATATTATAAATATGTTATACTTTATAACAGACGACAGATTCGAAACCATATTTGGAAAAATGTTCCGTTCACGTGTCTGCCTCGTGATATCCGCGTTTGGGCCAATACCTTTGTCACGAGTGAGACTCGTCGAAATACGGGAAGAGTTAATACGGATTAAATATAAAATTGATATCGGGGTACCCGAATCTCGCGTTAGGCCGAGAAACTAGCGCGAACGATCGATGGAAACGTACTTGGAAGCGTTTTCCGATACCAACAACGAGAAAGTACTTCGCTATTTCCAGAACTCTCGTTTCCCCGATGGCGGTAACATCGTAACAGCCTCGCGAGCGAAATTAATATCGGAGAAAGTTGAGCAATTACGTGTTCTTCGCGTTAATTTAAAATAAAGCAGTTTTCGCGATCCGATTTCGCCGGATGAAAGTTTGCGCGAAACCCGATCGAAAAATCAGCCGACTCGGATCGGCTCCGATTTCGGGTGCTGCTCCAATATGGGAGAAAGAGCCACGGGTGTCTGGAAGCGGAAATTTCGAGTACTCGCGCACACACCCCTGGCAGAGGAGACGCGCGAAGCGGGATGAAAATAGAAGTCAGGGGCTATCGGAATTTTCTTATTCCTCGCTTTCGGGATTTCCTCCGCGTCTTCTCGTTCGCGGAAGTCGATTAACGTCGGTTTCGCGCGATTCGAGCCGCGGCGCGTTTGAACCGTTAACCACGGGAATGGCCGGATCCCATAATGCCCAGTCATAAATCTATCCGAGCGGGCCTTTGCTCTTTTATTTGTCTTGGTCCGGGTCCGAGCCGGCCACCCTATCTAATTGCGGGGCCAGGTAAGGGCCCGGTTCCCGTGATCCTTCCGTCGTTTTTAAATTTTAACCGTGTCCTTTGCGGATCCTGTTATTACCACGCTCTGGGCTAAGATTAACCCTGGAAAGGCCGGGGAGGGGCGGTGGCACGAGGCGGAGATCCGAGGAACCCGTAATTTCCAGCACGGTCAATTCCGGCGAACTCGTAATTTCCGACGAAATTTCCAGCCCGATTCCAGCCGCGTTCCCGTGACTCTTTAGCAGAGCTAATGACGACTCTCTCTCTCTCTCTCTCTCCTCTCGGTGCCGCGCGACGCGTTTTCCCGGAGGGCGGCCACGGGGTCGAGCGCAGAGGCGGAGGAACGACCAAGGTTTATCCGCGACAGTCGGCCGAATCCTAAAAAAAAGAATGCACGCGGTTCCCAACTCGGTTCCCGTCGATCCTGCAACCTCCCCGAGGGGTAAACACGACCGCTTTTACGACCTACTCTCGAGATTACTTTTCTCCCCGGGGCAAACCTCTCTCCGGTTCGGCTCGCGCGTCCCGTCCTCGTTCCTTCCACGGCTGCAGCTGCTCGCGCCACTTTATGGCGTTTACACAAGCCGCTCGATTTTTCGGCTCCCGTACGCCATCGCGTCG